ATGTGTAAATACATGTTTCACCAACGGCTGAGATAGGCTTAGTGCCGACATCCATTACAAAATTGCTTTTGAGCAGAAAGCCGAGTTTTAATAAAAAAGAAAGCAGCATAATTGTGGAAAAAAATGAAGGACCCTTCCTCAAGAAATGCAACGGGTTGGAACATTTTGTTCTGCGAACATGCAAAGTGCATTTTTTTTCCTTGATTACTTCTGCACTCCTCGCTCAAATCTTCTTTCTCCCTTTGTTATTGTGTTATTTTGAGAGGGGATCTTCCCTGCCAGAGGTCAGAATTCCCCGAGGAGTAGCAAAAGTGGTGGAAAGTGGCCAGTTACATGTCAATCGTGCGGTTATGCACTTAATTGAGCCTCGGAGAGGAAGAGAAAAGACGATTGTTGTATTGCAGGGGAGAGAAAAGAAAGATTGTTCTTTTTGTTGGACGAAAAGTTTACTTTTTGTTTCATTGTCGATGAGGAGCAGACGAGGGAATTGAGTTTTGCTGTAAAGTTTTAACTTGAGGCGATTTCAGGGGTGCCGATGTTTACTGGGAAGGGAAGTTTTCATCAAACTTCTATATTATATTATTCGTTACACTGTACGTAATGAATATATGTAATCTACATGCTTCATGCTACATTTTGCATCACAATTCCCGAATTCCCCTGTCTTAAAATAGTTAAAATACAACTATTATTTTTAATTTAATTTGGTTGCTAATTTAATTTACTGGTGTACCACAAAAGGCAATCTGTGCCCAAATCGATATACATCATATCATATTTAAAAAAAAAAATAAACGAACACATTTGATAGAAAGAACACTCTTTATAATGACGATACATTATCTGAAAATTTATCAATTTTTTTTCAATTCTACAAAAAATGTAAAAATATAGGATTGACTCAGTGCCTAGTGAAGATGATAATTTTTTTCAATATTTGTATTATTTTTAATGATTTTTAAATAAAAAGATCGCCTTTATTAATATTTTCATGAAAAACTAATTTGTTTTTAGATAACCTTAAAAAAAACAGTAGTCTATATAGCTTCAAAATGTTTGAAAAAAAATTAAAAAATTTTCTGCTGTTAATAATTTCTAAGCAGAACTGCAAAACTTCAGATTTGCAGCTATATTTTTTATCTCTTTCTCTTGATCTTTTTCCCCAAGAAATGGCTCAAATATCAAATCTAGCTTTTTATCCCTGACTAAAATTACATCCAGCAGCCGAATGAAGTTGTGTGTTCAGCGGATTTTATTTATATAATTTCTTTGTACATCCGAGAGGAGATCGCCAAGCACGAAAGAAACTGGTTGTCTGCGCGAGAATTTTTTCTCATCTGCTTGCCGGTCGAGCTAGAGCCAAGGTTATATTGTTTGCCTTTCTTGCGCCGCTGCCATTTCTTTCTTCATCTCCATCTGAAAAGAAGCACGAGAGATGTGCTCGCAGCGAAATTATATTAATGTACTGCTATCACTGCTATTGTCTGCTGACAGAGAGAAAATGATACGACAAGCAAGGGAGAAACCGCGAGAGGCAGCAGAACAGAGATATACATACACGCCGCAAAAAGTCAATTTCATTTTGAAACCACTCAATTCAGACAACTGTTCTTCGCAATGATTAATTAAACTTTGCATCAATTATGATTATGTATCATTTAAAGTGTCTCTATTTATACAAAGTTTCAACTAGGACATATAATTAATTGTCTTCCTGCAATGTAATTAGTTTTCTTTGTTGTTTAATTTAAATTTTTCCGAGCCCAGTACTATTTAATTGTTAATAATTATAATCAGTACACTGGAGTAAAATGGGAATAGAGATAATTGTACGTATTTTTAATTTACATTAAAAAAATTCTACACCTGCATAGTTTTCTAAAGAAATAAATGTGATAAAAGTAACAGAGACTCGTTCAAGTCGCGCTAAATCAGTTGTTAACTATCCCTGGCAGCAAATTTAATCATTGATAGTGAATGTTACTCTGCGTCTTCTTTAGATGTTTTGTGTTAAATCAGATATCTGCAAACTATCTAATATAATTACATCTTTGTTTTCATATTTTTATTTTTAATTGCAAAAAAAGAAAATAAAAATATTGCAATATAAAAAGTTATCAATAAAATTATTATTTATCAATTTTTTATAAACAAAATTTCTTATAATTTTTTCTAATTTCTAATATGTTTTTCAATGAACTAAGAAAATTTAGAGCTATACAATAATTAAAAATTAAATAACAGAAACTTATTTACAATTACTAAAATAAAGTTATCAAAAAACAAAAATAAAATGTCAATGAATGGAAATAATTTATTATGGATTCCTATAAAAAAATTAAACGCACAAACTGCTGACCAAGATTTGAAAATAAAATTTATTAAATGCTAAACAAAACACTCAGTTCAAGGTTTTAATTCGCAAGATGCGGTGGCAAAAATCACAGAAATTTGTTCAATTTTCAAATTTTCAATTCAATTTTAAAACAAACTAAATTATTCAACAGACTAAACATATGCTTTGAAAATTTGAGTAAATTTGGAAGTAAAAATGCGCTCAAAATTAAGCCAAAATTTTTTAGTAATTGAAATTTACGTTGAGCAAATAAAAAAACGACTAACTTGAGATTTTCCTAAATAATTGATCCATTATGTGCAAGGACACCTTCATGTTTTTGACAGTTTTGACACGATTCAAAATTTTTATTCACACGACAATGAAAATTCCGGGCGCGTGCGTTTCTCGAGCGGAAAACGAGAGAGGCCTTAATGACTTCATAATATGAAGCGAAACAATTTCTCTGAGCTGCGTTTTATGATTTTAATTCGGTCGAACGAAAAAGCGCTGCGAGTGAGGAATTCCGCTCGAAATGAATGCACGCGGTGTACATATAAAAACAATGGCATTCGAGGCCCTCTCTCTCGTAGTTCGCCTCCCCCCATGCACGTTTATAAATTTGGTTAACATCATTATAGTACACGTTATATGGCATGGGGCAAAGCGCGAGAGCCTGTCTTAGCCATACATGTAATTAGGGGCCTTTAAAGCCTTTCATGTTGGCCGCTAACTCACGCACCTCGCTCTGCTCCTCAGGGAAACGTATATCGCGGATAAAGGTAGGTATACATATAGACAGACCCTGGCCGACGAGACATACCAGGGCTATTAAAGGGCAAATCAATGTGTGAACTTCTTGACTCTCTCTCGATCCGGCGAGAGCGGCCATAAAAATGCCACATACAATGCACGGTCCATAAAAGCGACTGATTTTGTAGCAAACTCTTTGGCTCGCCGCCGGCACTTTCCAGCACGAGTAAACAAAACGATCGTCAGAGTAATTGAAATTTGAGTGCGACGGACCAAAACAAACACGCGTAGACATGGTGACGCGTGTGTAATTAAAATTGGTAATTATTCACCCGGATATATCATTGGAGAATTTTCAAAAGGAATGTTTTAAAAGTGGTCCAAAAATTTTGATGAATCAAATGTTGAAAAGATTTTCCTCCCTTGCTTGAATAAAAAATTCAAAAATTTATGCTATTGAAATGATTTAAAAATGTGAATTTGACTTTCTTCGTGTCTAAAATTTCTCTTTGCTTTCAGCTTTAAGACAAACATCCTTTAATTAATGGTAGGGATTTCTTCTTCGATAAATCAATAAACATTTTTTTTTTACATTTATATTTTTGCAACACGATTATAGTGATTTAACAAATAAACAAGAATAATAAAAATTCGTATATCTTTGCAATATTTTGGTTTCTGAACGGGAAATAGGAAGAATGATAGAACTAGTGTTCCTTGAACTTCTCAAACATTTTTTAAATTAACTTTCAACTTGGGTATTTTTTTGCGTAAATTTCTCCTCTACATGTTTATCTCGAAAGGAATATTGAGAACTAATGTAATTGTGCTGTTTATTGATTTTAAGCCACTGATGCCCAAACTGCTCCCCAAAATGTTTTTACAAGCTGACAAAATAAAGGAATGACTTAAGTCAATGAATAATGATGTTGAAATTAAGCTTTCCTTGATGCTATTGGAAGTTCATTGTTTTTACTAATAAACTATAAAAAACTCAAATTATCCATTGAGAAATAAACCAATATTTAGCAACAATTAACAAAGAGCATTCCATTCCAAAAATATTTCAATTAAATCTTGAATTTTAAAACCTAATGATAATAAAAATGATATTTTTATGGACAAAGTTAAATCAATTCATCCGAATGATTAAAAATATTCAAGAGATTAATTTGAACCTGCAGATAAAAAAATTAAAAGTATTTATATAATAATGTTTTTTATTTATTTTATGTTCGATTCAAATTTGTTTTAAATATTTTGAGCTGGTGTATTGATATTTATTAAATTAAAATGCCTTTGAAGTTCAGAAGAGTTCTCAATATAAAATTTAATATGGGTTTTTTGTTGATCAAACTCGTAGAAGTAAACCAAACCTTTGCCCTCGCATCAAAAGCCATCTATAAATGTACATGGTATATAATATTACTTTCTACGGTAGAATATCAGGTTGATTGTGTGTATTACGAAGAAAGGTAATAAAAAGTTTTTGTTCTAATATTAAAATTAGAATAAACTTATTTATATTAAGTTGTTAAAAAATTAGTTATTAATAAGTAACATAAAATAATTAGAATCATTCACTTGCAAAGAAATTTATGTTTTTCTTATATTCACTTATAATTAATTTTTCGAACAATTTAGTTTTATCTGTTGATTTTATTTCTTAAATTAAATAAATTAATCCTAAATTCGCTGGATTTTGCTACAAAAAATAAAATAAAATACTTTTTTATTACATATTTTTAATCTGCCCATGATTATTATAACTACGTGCGTGCCCTTCCCGCCGTTATTATTCAAAAATTGCCCAGGTCAGGGGGTCGGCCAATCAGTTGCGTGAAATTAGCAATTCCAAGTCATCAATCATTTTTTGATAAATAGAAGTAAACAAAGAAAATCAATGTCATGTGCTCGGTGTGTGCGGCAAAGCGAGGAAAGTCACATTTTATAAGTTTTTGTTGTGAATTTGGACAGAAAATGTCTTCGTGAAGATGTGGGGACCTTTTTCTATTAAATCTCAGGAGTGCTTCGGTTCTTCGGGACTGCAGGAAGAGCGTCCAGCAGTTCAAGGTAGGCCTTTTCTCATCCCTGAAAATGTCCGAGCGCTTTTCCTAGGCAAAATTTCTAACCTCGGAATGGACATAAAATAAATCAAATACATGTAATCAATTTTAAATTCAATCTGCCGGCTCAAATTAACCTATTGAATATTTAATCATTCGGATGAATTGATTTGGCATCAAACCATTCGTCGCGCTAATCCGAAGGCGTACATTAGCAATAAATTACACGAACGTCGAGTAATAACGGCATTAAATTGCGTAATTACACCCGTAATGGACCACGACGGAAGAGAGCAGTGCTTTTGATCGGGCTCGTGATCCCACCAAAAGTTTCAATAAAAAACTAAAAATTTTACTTCGTGCGCACGGTGGCATCATTAATTACGCTAATTGCACCTCAAATTATTATTAGTTCTTACATACGTGTTACGTGTTCGGCAATTGCGCTAATTGCTTCCCGCTCTTGAACCCTTTGCGCGTTTTGGCCACATTCGAATTCGCCTTTTTACAACCTGTCGTGAGCAATAAAAAGTCACGGCAAGAGCGACTCCAAAGGGCTTTTGACTTTGAAAAACGCCTCTCTGTGTGCGATCATTATAATTTTTACATTTGCGGTGGTGCGGGTCCGTTTTATTTGCCTTTATGACGCCGCCACACGTGTTAATTGTTTGTTTGCTGCCTCCTCAAATTAGTGCTGCTGGCAAAAGTGTAGCTTTTGAAGTTGAATCGTAGAAAGCACCGAGTAAACACGCAAAAAATGTTTTGTTTTTTCATGCAAGCCTGTGAAAAATTGTGTTTACTTTTTTGCAGACAAAAAAAGTGAATTTCCAAATTGAAAGAAAAAAAAATTATTTAAAAATGCTTTGAACTACTGGAAATCAAAAATAAAACTAAAAAAGTGTAGGGAAGCAGAAATTATATCAGCTATAGAAAAAAACGCCCACTAACAGCCATAGTGATAAGAAAAACCGCCTAAATAAACAGGTAAAAACCGTTAGCAACCAGCCAGTGCATATTTATGCAGTAGTGCCAACCCAAACAAAAAAGGCTGGAATATGCTTGATATATTCTCAAATTAAATACACTAAATTCTTCATTTTTTTTTTATTAATGATCGAACACGCTCAGCTACGCAAGATAACATGAAAATTTTGACAATCCTATCCTAGGGAATTCTTATATCCAATAAAATATTTAAATGGAATCTTTCATTTCTGAAGTTTGCAATGGGAATTTAAAGATCTTTTAAAGCTTTAAGTATATGATTGATTCATCCCTACAATCACAACTCACCCGAATCAAAATTAAAGATGTCAAACGTGTCCATTAGCCTGTCTGTTTGGCAATAACAATCATCAAATCACGTCTCTATTTTCATTACTTTATTAATTCGATCGGACAACTTGAAGTGTGCGTACGTGCCGTCTTGCGCACACGTGGAGCAAAAATAATATTTCGCAGTGCAACATAGTGTAAGCCGAGCTCAACATTACGTAGTATAAAAAATGAAATCCCATGGCAGCGAGGAGAGAAAGAGACTCAGAGCATAAAAACCATCATCGTGTAATTCTGCAACGGCAGTAAACTCTGCTGTTTATTAATATCGCATAAATTCCGAGCGAGCTCAGGTGGGGATAAATTTATGAAAAGCATTGCGTTCTTTGCGGTCTCGTCGAGGAACTCAAAAAGCACATTCTGTCATTTTTAATTAATTATTCAATTACATAGAAACAAAGACAGTACAAAAATTAAGACGTACAAATAACCTTAACATTAATTTAATTGTTACCAGCAGGACATAATTTCATAAATAATCTGTTAATTAAAATACCTACAGTGAAACAGTAAAATTTAATTTAAGATTGAATTAATTTAACCTAAATTAAATTTTTTTTAAAGTCGGTTTAATTAATTTTATTTCACTTTGTAATTATTGCCATTGAAAATCTTTCAAAGTTCAAAATTTAATTTAAAATAAATTTTTTTCTACAAAAGATTTTCACATTTAATCAAAGCAGTCTCATTTTTTTTTTTACTATTTTTGCGGCGTTAAATTTTTTATGTGGGTGTTTTATTAATTTCATCTTATTATTATTATTTAAAACTTATTACAGCAGTTTCCTCTTTGGCCAGTTTCCAAAGTCGAGACGAAACCAGTTGGTATTCCGCTGGACCGCCGGGGCTGTTCCTTTTTCGCTCGCTCGTCCGCCGGTTCCATGCGAGCGCCGCGTCAAAACAAGTGGAGAACCCGCCCAGAGGGTCATTCGAAATTACAGGTTGCTGCTCTAATATCATCCCACCATCGCCGGCGCGGCGGCAAAAGTCTTTTATTCCTCTTCGCAGAGTCCTTTATAATCTCTCGCGGCTCACAGGGAAAAGGGTTGAAATTCCTTCTGACACCCTTGGAAAGAACAAAATATGTTTAGTCTGTTTCAAAATAAAATGCAAATGTACATAAGCCGCAAAATTTTTGGTAACGATTCTTAAATTTAGATTTTCAATTGTAAATTCTACTTGGTCAACACCATCTTTTTTAATATTACCTAAAACCATCAAATTAACACTCGAATGGATTTTATGACTAAAAAATTCCATTAAAACTTTCAAAATATCAGCGATACTTTAAAAAAATGCGTCTTTTCCAGTGAATTTCTGATTTCTTTATTTAAAAAGAATTATATTGTACAGTCTTAAAGTATCAGATTAATTAATTGTAAAAAAGTCTTAAAAACAATTATTTAGCTGAAATCTTCAAAACTACTTAAATTGAATTTGGTATATTCAGAATTAAATAGTGAATGCAAACCAGATATGAATGACGTTTTAAAGATTGCATCGGCCGCAGGTTTCACAACGGAAGCACTTCATGTTACGTGTTTTTTTTCCCTTTCATTTTTTTGTTTTAAATAAGGTGTATATCTGCGGGCAGCAGACAAGGTCCGCGCGCGCTCATTTATTATTCCTGTCGTTGTGTTTATTTTCCTCTCTGCTCTCTCTGTCAACAGCGCCATTAGATGAAGAGATGGACAGCTCAAAGCGACTTTTCTCTCTCTCTCGCGCTTTATCTCGCTGAGGTTTTTATCTCTCCACTCTCAGGCTCTGGCATTCGAATATAAAGCAGAAGCAGCCGTAATGAGCAGTCTGCCTGTTTTTTGCCCCTTTCTCCGCCGCATACCGGCCAGACTGCTCTTTTTTCGGGTTAAAAAAAAAGCCGAAATCGCAAAGAATGGCATCGTGTTTTGTGTGACGTGAGAGGCTCATGCGTAAGAAAGGTCAAACAACCATTTTTGCTTTCGACGAATTCTCCACGAATTCATCAAAGGGTGCGTTAATGAAAAAAAAATAATAATAAATTTAGTAATTTACCAAAATTTAGTTTTGATTTATAAAAAGTTGCTTGAAATACTCTTACAATAATATTTTGATTTTTTACAGTGCAAATTGGAAAACTTAGGTGAAGAAGATACCATAAATTATTACCTTGCAACTCTTGTTTTTCTTTAAAACTGCTGGTAAGTAATTTTGATTCAACTGAAAAAAAACCTTTTGAATCAATTTACTCACAAGAATTTATTGATGATCAAGGGTTTGTTTATTGTTTTATATGAAATGATCATTAAATCCTGCAAAAAAATTATTGTGTGAAAACTGCAGAACGCAACTAAAACAAAGCCCATCAAAGACATTATTAAATTAAAATATTAATAGTTTAATTTCATGCAGTGCTAATGTCATGTTCGGAGAAAGATTAATCATATATTTAAAAATTTCCCTTTTAATATTTCATAGAATTAAGTTTTTAAATGAATAACTTATTTAGAAATTGAACAGACTTTTGTTAAAGTAAAAGTATCAGCAAAGAAAAAAGTAGTTTTACAACTTTTTTTCTGTTTTGTATTAAATGTAAACAGATTTTTTTTGCTGCGCCGAAAATAAGCCGATTTAATATTAAAAATTCCCCGAAAAGCAATTTTCAACCCTTTTAGGCTGTGGAAGATTAAAAATCGCCGGGCCTTTGTGTGTTGCGCGTTTTTTTCGCAGCCCCAAACAGTCAAGTGCCAAGAGCAGCGTTGCTGACGGGCGCCGCCACTCTCGCCCCATTCGTTGAGCCTTTTATTAATGGCTGGGTATTTTCCATATAATGGGCCTGACACAATGGCCCGAATCAATCACCTCTTACTCATAGCTCATTAGTTCCGACTTTTTTGTGTGTTTGCATCGACCGCTCTTCGCAGCTTAAAAATAATCGACGAGCACAAAAACACTATAACTTTACGAACCTCCCTCGAAATGAATGGCGGTCATTTCTGCGAGTGAGATAAAGAAAGTCATTTATTCTCTGCCTCGGAAGAAAAGTAATAGAAAGAAAATCATTTCTGCTCTATTTTGGGAGAGAAACAGAAATTTCATCGTTTTATTTCAAGCCTGTTGCTTTAAAATGCAATGAATATTAAACGAACCCCAGAGCGCGCTGCATTTTGGTCTGATGCACTTTGCCAAACTAATTCTGACGAAATTGCTCAAGAGTGGCGCAGTCTGCGGCGACGTCTGCCTAGGGCCGTCTGCTTTTGCACAACACGCCCCAAAAGTGCTCTAAAGTGCACTCGCGGGCGACGGAGTTGCGACTCCCACCGGAGTAATGTGTCCATTTGCAGCACATAAAACTGCCCACTTCAGAAACTTTTTCCATTTGACTTTGGAATGGCGGTCATTGCCCTCAGAAATTTGCCGGAATTTTTTTTTTATAAACAATACGATATTTTAATTTTCAAACGAAACCTTTTCTCCGAATTAAAAGACGTTTATTTCTAAAGGACACGATCTTCTCATCTTTTATTCGCGGCGAGTCTCATGAAATTCGTGAGTCACCGTGCAAAAATGCACCTTTATTCGCGCGTCAGGGATGCTGTCTCTCTCTCATATCGCATGAAGAAATAGTAGGTGGTCCTGCTTGCATGCGCTGCTCTCACGTCTTCATCCAGGCGGAATGAGAAAAAAATAATTCAA